CCCCAAAACCCCAAAACCCCAAAACCCCAAAACCCCAAAACCCCATTCATATAATAAAACAGTGAAATATAATAATAAATTTATAATTTTTATAAATATGTTCAACCATTTGAGCAAAAGATTCTATACTATTGGGTCAAAGGCACTCAAGAATAACATGAGAAGGTTCGCCATGAGGTCTATGTCCACCCAAGTTACCAAGACTGGCCATGACTACTCCATTAAGCCAACTGGAGATTTGAAGCAGTTTTCAAAGGCTCCAATTTTGGAGAATTTCGGAGAGTTGCAATATGGAGAGATCCCAGAGCCTCTGAAATATGTCAGACCATTTGAACAGACCACCCTTAGTAACGGAATCAGAGTCTGCACTGAAGGATTTAACTCAGAATTGGCAGGAGTTGGTGTATTCATCAACGCAGGATCAAGAGATGAGACCTTAGATACTAGCGGTACTGCCTTCCTTCTTGAGAGACTCCTTCTCAAGGGTACTGAGAACAGAACTGGTAGCGAACTCGTATCTGAAATAGAAAACCTCGGAGCCACTTATGAAGGAAAGACCCACAGAGAAATCAGCTCCCATACTTTGAAAGTATTAAAGAACGATGTTAGCAAAGCAGTAGAGATTTTGGGAGATTTGATTACTAATCCACTCCTGAACGAAAATGCATTTGAAGCTGAGCGTGAAGTAGTGTCCCAAATTCATGAAAACAACATTAATGAATATGAGAGAACTACCTTGCAGGCTTCTCATAATAATGCTTTCAGAGAGCACATGATTGGACAGCCAACAAGAGGAGACAGAGATAACTTGCCAAACCTCACAATTGACCAAGTAAGACAGTTCCATGCAGACAATTATTATGGGGACAACATTGTCATTGTTGGAAGTGGAAATATAAGTCATCAAGACCTCGTCGACTTGGTTGAGACCCACTTTGCTTCATTGCCAAAGACTACTTCTGCTACTAAGAACAACACTGAGAGACCAATCTATATTCCAGCATTGCAGATGATGAGAGATGATGAAATGTACAACTCTAACGTAGGAGTCTTTTATGATGCTCCAAGCAGATCTCATCCAGACTTCTATGCATTTGAATTATTAAAGAGAATCTTCGGTACCTACAGACTTGACAAGAATGCTGAGCATTTGAATGATGTTGCTAAACAATATAATGCTTTGCATGGTATGATTGGAGACTTACCAGATGTCACTATTCATAACTCCCACTACTTTGCTTACTCTGACTGTGGTATTTTCGGAAACTATTTCTTCGGAAATGAGGTTTTCACCCGTCAAATGAACTACTGCGGAATGGTCCTCAACACCACTTATGGACACTACATGAATGACGTTGAAGTATTCAGAGCCAGAAACAAATATTATAATGAATTATTAAGCAACGAAGGTGTTATCAGCTCTCTTCACGATATTGCTCCACAGATTTTCTACCTCGGAAGAAGAGTCCCAAGAAGTGAGATTGCTAAGAGAATCGCTTATATTGATGCCTATCACATGAAAAATCTATGCTATGACTGGTTCTATGATGCTGAGCCATCCTTGACTAACTGGGGACCAATTGAGGGTATTTCTGCTATTGGATCATACAAGTACATCAAGAATCACACCTACAGTACTGTCACAAATGCCCATCATGGACTCTATTGCTAATAAAATTATCGCATCTTCAATTTTTGTAGTAAAAAAAGGGGTTTTGGGGTTTTGGGGTTTTGGGGTTTTGGGGTTTTGGGG